GAAGAAGCATCAGCCTACATTTCACAACCTTACCCCAGAAAAGCAGTAATGTTGTGCAGTTACAGGGGCCCTGACAGGCCACACAGCCAAAACCCTGTGACCTGAGGCAGCCCAAGGCCTGAGTCCATCCCTCAAGCAGGCAGCCAACACCCACCACCCTTCAGAAGGCTCTGCAGGTCATCCATCAGGAGCTCCAGAGTGGCAGGGCAGGCCGGGAAAATACCCAGGACGAGCAGTGAGGTCTGCGGTCCTGAAGACAGAAACCTCACCTTCAACCCCCCACCCTCCCCACGCCAGAGGCCTAGAAGCCAGGAGCAGGGGCTCTGAGGTCTCACAGCAGCCCTGCAGGGAAAGGAGGCCCCCTGGAGCCAGCTGGATGGGAAGGAACGCCTGGTCTCTCAACATAGCTCCCCTCCCAACCTTGAAAATAGCCTCTGGGAAAAGCACAGCTCCCTCTCAACCCCCGAGACAGTTCCTCTCTAGGATCTGTAGGCTTGGAGCAAAAAGTTCCCCAACTCCTCAGTGCCTCTGCCTCTGCCGCCCAGGCCTCTGGGCCTCTGGCAGGGACTGTGCCCTGGTCAGGACAGCTGGCAGCCCCTGTGCTTCCACCCCCACCCTCTCCCTGTTCCCAACTCCCAGGTTATGACACAGGGGCAGGAGAAGGAGGAGGTGGAGACTTAGAGGGAAAGGGGACATGGATGCCGAGGAATGTAAAGGGGCTGGGAGGTCCTGACCAGAAACCCTTCTGCCGTGCCGCTCTGCACCTGCCCAGCACCATGGGAATGTCTGGTGGTCGCTGTCAGCTGTGCTCTCCAGGAGCTTGGGACGGAGGCTGGCACCAAGCGCCCCTCCTCAGGCCATTAAGGTCATGAATGAGGCCAGGGCAGCCCCCTCTGCCCATCTGATGGCCAGGACAGCTGCCAGCGCTTCCTGTCCCTGCTTTGGGGGGTGGGGAGGAGAGGCGTTCCTGGTCAAGAGAGGGTTGAGGGTCTCAGGGGCTCCGGGGGTATGTAGCACGTGTATGGGCATCAAAGCATGTGAATCACTGGGTGTGCCTGTGTGTTGCCAGCACGAAATTCTCTGTGCACGGCTGGGTGTGCGTGGGGACCCTCGGGCTAGCATTCCTGTATGCAACTGTGTTAGTCTTTCATTTGACACGCAGTATTGAGCACCTACTAAATGTCAGGCACTGTTCTAGGTGCTTGTGATACATCAGTGAACAAAACAGGCAAAGAGCCCAGCTGTCATGGCGCTTACATTGGTGGAGCGGTGGAGGGGTTACTGCTGGGGATGAAGACAAGAAAAAATAAGCATAGAATATAGTAAGTTAGAAGGTGCGGTGAGGGGGCCGGGGGAGTAGAACAAGATGAAGGGATGAGTTGCAGTGTTAAATAAGGGCGTCAGAGTAGGGTCCATTTGGAAGGTGAATTTTGAGCTGACTCCTGAAGGCGAGGCGAGGAAGTTGGTCATACGGATATCTGGAAGAAGGCTTCCAGGCAGAGTGAACGGCATGTCTGGCATTGTTGAGGAACAGCAAAGAGGCAGGAGAGGCCAGAGCGGGGTGAGGAAGGAGTCACGGAAGTCAGTGAGATTAGGGAGCTGACCAATGGCTCTATGGCGTCCTGGTGTGTTCATCTCAGGGTGTGCCTCCCAGTCCATCGCCAGGGTCCCCGTTTACCTGGTGCTTTGTGCTCATCACTGCGCACGGCCAGGTGTGCACCATTCGGCCTGGGCACCTGGAAGTCCCTTATGGCAGTAGTGTACCTGTCTATGTCCCAGAGTCTGAGGGTCCCTGGGTCTGAGCGTCCGGGAACCCCAGCTTGCCCACCCCGCCACGCGTCGGAGGGCTGGGCGTCACGTGACCGCCCCGCCTCTTTCTGCCCCGCCCGCTCCAGACTTCGGCTCTGCGCTGCGCCTGCGCATTCGCCCTGCTGTGCCTGAGCTGCTGCTGCTGAGACCTGACGGGGCCGTGGGGAAGTGCAAGTGCCGCAGCGTCTCAGGCCCAGGGCTGCCCGTTGGCTGCCCAACTTCGGCCAGTTCAACAAGTACATAGAGAAGCTCTTCAACAGCAGGTGGGCAGAGAGGAAGGGAGGGGGAGGGGAGGAAACAGACACCACCTGCCCCCGCTACCCAACCCTACCCCACCCCACTCCCTGCGCATCGCAGCCCGGAACCGGGCTCGCAGAGCAGCCGCATGGCCTCTGCAAAGACGTGTTCCCCAGCATGAAGTCCAAGAACGCTAAGAACTCTAACGACGCGAACAACCCTAAGAATACTCCACCAGCAAACGCTACGAAACCCCTAGCAGCGAACGCCACGAAACTCCCCCGACAGAACACCACGAACCCGCCACCCCGGAACGCCGCGAAACCCCGACCAGCAGCCTCCTCCCGGGGCCCCAGGTAGGAGAGCCTGGGCTCGGCTGGCACCAGTCAGGGGCCTCGGAACTGGGGGCAGGTTGGGCGGGAGCGAAAGGAAGCCCTGAGGGCTGGGGGGAATCCAGGGCCCCGGGGACTTCCTTCTCCAGGCTGGGCTTTGACTTCCAGAAGTCCAACTCAAGTCTCCCTGCCCACCGACCCTCTTTATATTCTGAGAGGGGCCCAACTCCTGCCCAGCCCGGCCCCGGTGAGAACAATAAAGAGGAACGGAATCTCTGTTGCTTCCTTGACTTCTGTGGGCCCTGGGCAAGAAGGGACCTGTCCTTGGAGAGGGGAGAGGGGTTCCTGGAGCTGCTACAGTAGAAGGAAAAAGACCTCAGCTGTGGGGTCTTCCCTGCTTCCTCCCTGCGACCCATCCACCTTCCCCCACCTCAGACACTTACACCGCTCCGGGGGAGGGGGCGGGGGGGCCCTAAACAAGAGGGAGAGCAGAGGTGAGAGAAGTGGGTCCCAGCAACCACGGGGGAGGAGCTTCAGCCAGACCCCGCCCCCCAAGTTTCTGCCCGGAGCAAGGCAGCTTTGATGCCAGCCTGGGAGGTCAGGGTTGGCACAGGAACAAGCAGCCCCCCCAGTGTGCAGAGCATTAAGGTCCTGGCTTTCCCTCCCCGCCCCGGGACCCTCTCAGCCCCTCTGGCTGTGAGCAGAGCAGGGAGAGGGCAGGAGCTCAGCCAGGCCTGTCCCCGAGAAGCTGTCTCCCCTGGGGGCAGGGGCAGAGGCCCCTTCCTGATCCAACTGTCACATTCAGGTATGTCCTGAGCAGAGTCCCGATTCCTGCTCCTGGGAAGTAACTACACCTCTCCCAACCTAGAACCCATCCCCTTAGCTGCCAGGGAAAATTCTGGGACTTAAGGCTCCATCATCCAAACTCAAGCTTTATTCTCCTGCTGAAACCAGCCCCCCTCCCGGACACCTCCTTGGATGTAAGAATCAGCCTGAGCCATGCGCCTGCCCAGTGGCGGCATCCTCTCCAGCCTTTTGCCTTTCAGGGCCTAGTTCCACTTTCAAGTCGTTTGCACACACCAGACAGCCAAGACTTGAGGGGAACCACAGTGTGGTGTCGTTGCCATGGGGTCAGTGTGAGGTGCTGAGCCCAGAAAAGTGGACCCCCTCATCCACCAAACCCACAAGCCCCATCTCGTCAGGCAGGACATGTAGGGGAGGCAGAAGGAGCCATTCCAGGAACCAAGAAGGTTTGAATTCTCTCACTTCTCCCCCCACCCCTGCCATGACCCCTATCCACAGGTGCTCCCAGGCCAGGAAAAGGAGAGAGACAAGGTCACTCCCTCCCAGTCGCAGACACATCAGCCCACCCCCACCTATTCAGGATGCCTGAGAAGGGCGAGGGTTGGCAAGGGCCACTGGGACCCCTCGCCAGTGCAGGCCTCCCCGGGCAGGATCATGGTCCTCACCCTCCCAGAGCTGGAGTGTGCAATCCACTGATTGGACTCCTGGAGGTGGCCGGAGAGCTCAGCCAATGCAGCCTCCTCCCTGGAAGGCCGAATTCCTCCTGCGGCCTCCCCTCCTGCGACTACTTAAATAGCTCTTACATCCAGGAATTCACTACCTCTCAGGGCAAGTCCTTTCCAGTTTTCTGGTTCTTCAAAGATGAAACTTATAGTCAAGGAAAGCCTGCCTTCCGGAGCCCATCGCTCTGCTCATCTGTCCACCATGCTTTATGGAAGCATCTGGTTGGCTGCAAGTCTGCCCTGCAGAAGCTCCCGTCTGCTAGCACTTTTCTGGGTTAAGGGCCATGCATTATTTCACATCCTGCTCACTACAACCCTATCATTCAGGTTATGTCCTGGCCCCAAAGCACACAGGGAACGTGGCACATCCTGCATTCTAACCCAGGTTCATCTGACTCTAAAGCCAATGCTGTATCCCTGTATTAGATTGCCATCTGCTGTCGGACCTTGGACAAGCTGCTGGACCTCTCTGAGCCTCGGTCTCCTCCTCTGTAGAGCGAGGATAACAGTTTCTCCCCCCTCACAGAGAGGGTTAAATGTCCCTGGCACACAGAGGCTCCTTTTCCCAACAACCTCACGTGACACCATCTCCAGACCCCTCCCCACCATGTCCCCCTCCTCTGGCCGTGCTTCTGCTGGGCACCGTGCCGTGAGGAGGCGCCCTTCGACCGAACACGCACAGTGACACGCCTCTGACTGCCCAGAGGAGGGCAGCTCCGACGCCACAGGTGTAGCCGGTGACTGTCTTAACCCCAGTCATTCCTCTGGGCTGGGCTGTCGCGCCTGCCCCCATGCCAAGGACACTTTAGTATAAATGAGCACTTCACCTGCTGCCTAGGCTATAGGAAAGCATTCATGGGGGTGCATTTGGGGGCAGGGCTGCCATGAAGCCAATGATCAGGAGGGTCTAGGGATGCTGAAACGGGATGATTCAAGCTTCACTGACTTGCTGAATGAACTTGGGGGAGTCCCTGCCGCCCCTTGGGCCGCAGTTTGCCCCTCTGTGAAGTGGAGAGGTTGAGCTGGATGGCTCTGATGACCCTACGGACGTTCGGGATCATTCCTAACGCCCTTGTTTCCCTCCTCCTCCCCCTTGCTTCCTGTGCATTTGGCCTGCTCCTGCCCCCGACCTGGGGTCCCCAGAGACACGGAGAATGAGGCTATGACTTTGATGTGCTTTATTTAGCCTGCGTGGGAGCAGGGGGCAAGCTGCGGCCAGAGCAAAGGGTGCGGAAGGGCGAGCTGGGCCGGCACTGCCCTGGAGTCAGAGGGGCAGGAGGTGGCTTTACGAGTCCCTCGGGCTGAGCTGCCTGTGCGGAGAGGGCAGAGCGTGGCAGCATGAGTGGGTAGTCCTCGTGCCCTCGGAAGACCTCAGGCCAGCCCTAGGCCCCTGTTCTCCCCCACCCCCGACACACACCCCGGTTTCCGCCCCAGGCATCTGGACACACAGGGCAGGGAACCAAGCCCACCTGGGGGGAGCTGCGTGGGGGGAGCCACACTCCGAGAAGTCCAGCGCGCCTTCTTTGTCTCTTTTCCCATACCTGGGAGGGGAGAGGTAGCTGGGGCCAACGCTGTGCCGGGGTGCCAGCTCTCCGGCCTCGTGCCCACCCCTCGGCACCATCCCGCCCGGGGCACAGGGGCCCAGGCCAGATCAGTAGAGATGCTCTGCTTTCCCAAGAGCGTGAAAGGGTCTAGGGCAGGGGTCTCTCGCCCTCTCTCACACACACCTGGGCCTGGTCAGCATGTTGATGTATCTGCGGAGCTCCGCTGCGTACTGGGCCATCTGCTCCGGCGTGGCATTGTCCCCCGGGTATACTGGCTCCAGCGGGGCCCCCCGGGCACCCAGTGGTGGTCGCAGCAACAGAGCCACGCCCGTGGACAGAAGCAGCAGGAAGAGGCAGCGGTGAGAGGCGGCCATCTGAGGGGCAAGGAGCAGGGAAACAGAGGCAGCACGGAGCCCACCTGCCCAGCCCCAAGCCCGTCACCCATTTCTCCAAGCCTGGGACGAAGAGCAAAGGGCTACTCGGACCTGACCACCCCTCCTCCTAGAGCCTGCCCTGGAGAGCACGACGGCCCCTCTCGGGAGCAGCGCAGCAGGCGGAGCTTAGCCAGGGCCCGGGCAGAGCAGAAAAGTGTAGCAGAGAAGGTGGGGCCGTGGGGCAAGAGACACAGGACTCATGACATCCAGGGCCTGGTGGCTCTGAAGAGGCAGGTGCGGGGTGGGAGTTGGAGCAGAGGGGCTGCTGGGAAGTAGGGGCACGCCCGCTCCCCTGCAGGTTGGGGGCACACAGAATGAACTTGTGAACCAAAGGGCAGGAATCCATTGCCTGTTGGTGTGCTGCCCTCCCACCACCCCCCAGCCTCCCCGCCAGGGGTAGACGTGCTGATGCGGGTCCTGGAGAGAACACCACAGCCCCTGTCGCTGTGAGCAAGAGGCCGGCCACACGCATGGACTTGTGTTCACAGCCACCATCCCCTGCCCCCCGCACATTTGCAGTCTTCTAGTCAGCGGCAGGCTGCTCTTCCAGGGTGCTGGATTTGTCCAGATGTAGAGCCGGACCCACGTAGGACCTCAGCCCTCCGGAGGCCCCCAGCCCAGCAAGGCACCGGCTCCTTCCCCACGTCCCAGCCCGAGCCCCTCAGAGCCCCCCGACCCCGAGCTCAGGACAGGCTGAGCACACTTACCCTAAATCCTGAGGGAGCGGGTGCTGGACCAAGCGGGTGCCTGCCTCAGGCTGGATGGATCCCCCTGCCCTCGGCCATAGCCCTTATATAGTCCTCAACCCCCCAGAGTCCCCGCCTCCTGTCAGCCTCTCTCACTCCCCAGCCCTCAGCCCCTCCTCCCACCGTCTCCCGGGCCCACGACGCCAGCGCTAGGGCCAGGTACAGGAGGGGAACAGGGAAGTGTTCTGGGTGCCACACTAACGCATAACGGGTAAAAGTTATGGACAACAGTCTCCTGTAGGCCCCCCTCTGCCTTCGGGCACCAGAGCAGGCTTCGTTCAAGAAGGACGGGGTTCTGGGACATCAGGATAACTGGCAGGTTCTGATTACAGGCCTGGGAACAGCTCCACCTGCCTCCCAAGGATTAACCCAAATCCTCAAACAGATTCCCTCAGGGCAGAAGACTGAGGCTGTGGCTCAGAGACTCCAGGGACGAAGACTGGAGACTCAGGACTTCCTTTCCAGTTTGTGATTAGAACAAGATGGGAACGGGGGAGATGCTTCAGGTAACCAGGGAATGTGGAAAGGAGTGGGGACCCAGGCAGGGAGAAACCCTCTCCCTGGCTGGTGTATAGGATGCAGAATGAGAACTGATGTGCCCCGGGGGGAGGGGGGTGCCAATATCTAGTAGCCGTTTCCCAGCTCCCCCATTCCAGGGAAGTGATAAAAACCAGCATCATTTGGAAAGCCTTGAATTTTCCAAAGTGTTCCCAGCTCAGTCACCTCAGTGAGTTCCTTCAACATCCCATTTTACAGATTCAGAAACTAAGTCTCAGAGACATTAAGTAACTAGCCTCAGGCCACATAACTAGTCAGTGGGAGATACAGGGTTTGAAACAAAGTCTAACTCCAAAATCCGGACTCTTCTAAGTAGGGCTGTTAAAATATTGCTATAATTTCCTGATTTTTGGCTGAGAAACATGAGGCTCACAGAGGCGAAGACACTAGCCCAAGATCACACAGTTGTCCAGGACTCAAGTTCTGGCTTAGATTCCCAACCCCACCAGTACCAGCAGCCCCACCCCCACCCCACCCCCAGGAACCTCTGAGTCTCCCCTACTCAGCGTCCCTTCCCCAGCCCCCTGCCCCCTCCCCAGCTCAGGCCAAAGAGCACAAGTGACTGTCTGAATAACTCAAAGAAGCCTGAGTAGGGAGCAAAGGACTTTTCACCCCTGAGGTTCTGCTGTCCCAGATCAGGGCACCAAAAGAGTGTGTCAGGAGAGGATTTGGTTGTGGGGCGGGGGGGGGGGTGGGGGGGGGGGGCGGGGGTAAGGACTGGAGGTGTTGCTGCAGGGACCTGAGCTTTGCTTTTCCTCAAGATAATGAGGATTAAGGAAGCCTCAGGAAACACCAGTGTTCTGTCTTGTTCCTCTCAGTTCTGACTTCTGGCAACAAGAAGAACAATAATGCTTCACCCAACAACAACTTACATTCTGCAAAGAAAATATGGAGGTCGTTCGCTCTCCGCTAGCCCTGGCCCTTCTCTGGCCTCGGGATCCCACTTGGTAAAACAGGGTGAATTAGTGGCTGGTCCCAGGAGGGCCTCTGGTGAAGCCAGCAGAGGCTGCAGGCTGCCACCAGGGGGCGCCAGGCTCCAACCCTAGTTCAACAGGTCTGGTCTCCCACAGCACTGTAGTGCTGTGGGACGGTTCTGGCCATCACCCCCGTCAGCTCCCAACCCCTGCAGACAGATGGTAGACCCGGGGATTGACTCAAGTGCTGGGGCCATCTATAGTTTTGGCCTGTCACAGAGGGGACATAGCTTTGTCAGTGCCTAAGAAATGACAGTTACTCTACAATGTCAGCTGAACCTACGGCTTTCGTTTTTCGCCTTTGCAAACAAGTGATTCCTCTTCTGGGTCCTCTCAGGGATGTTGTGACAACTGAGGAGGAAGGGGTAGTGGATGTGCTTTCTAAACCGTATGGCCGTGTCCAGACGGGCGATGCTTCTCACTCACCTTCGTATATTCCCAGGGCTTGCCATGGAGCCCTGCTTGGAGAAGCACTAAGGACTTACCTGCAGACAGAGTAAGTGCAGGCGGAAGTGATCTCTCTCCCCCTGCCAAACCTCATGCCTCCGGGACGGGGACGATGGCCATTGGGCAGCGTTGGGGATGGCGTAAGGGCTCAATGAGACGAGGAAAGGAAGACCCCAGAAACACCTGGGGTCACTAGGTGAAGATGAGTGGACAGTAGCAAGGGGCACGGGGGTCCCCACATATGGGACTGCAAGAGCAGGAATTGGACCAGCATTGCACCCTCCATACCCACCCCCTACAACAAGAGCTCCTCCAAAGCAGCCTGGGCCAACTCTTAGGCCAATGTCTTATTCCCACACTGGATGGCAGCAGGAGAGGTGGGGAAAGCTAAGCTGTGGCCACCCCCAGATACTAGGAACCCAGGGGGTTCCCCATTCCCTGGGGAAACCCCTTGGGCTGAGGATTCTCACACACACCTTGGGCCCCTATCCCACCCCCTTAGGACCAACTCAGGCCCAACTAAGGGCTCAGGTCACTAATTTGGAACCCGGGCTCTGTCCCCACTTCCCTCCGCCCTGGGGACTCCATCTGCCTCCAGGGTCCCCTGCAGGCTCAGGAGTGCTCAGTAGCTCTCCCTGTCCCCAGTGCCTGCAAAAGCAAATCCTATCATTGTCAGCTCGAATTTTTCCTGAAGAGGAAGGCTTCTTTCTTGCTAAGAGAAAGGCTAAACCAATCCATATAATAAAGTGTTGGGGGAGAGGGATGGATGAATGGGGAGGAAAGAAAAACGTAGGGGCTGGCTGTGGAAGGAGGGGAGTTTTTCCTTTGGGGTGGAAGGGGGCAATGCCAGAGCAGTTTTGAGATGGGTTAGGAGTGAGTAGGAGAAGAAAGGAAAAGAAGGGGGATACTCAAGCGTGTGCCAGGCTATGCCGAGCTGACCTGTAGCTTCAGCTCTCCTACTCACCAGTTCTGCCATTCATTAACTGTGTGACCTTTAGCAACTTACCTCACCTCTCTGAGCCTTAAAGCAGGAACTATTATTATTATTTAAGGTGTAAGGATCCCTGTTTAACCAGTGAAGGAATAAATGCAGTGAAATGAAATGACTAGGCCAGTCACACAGCCAATGAATGGCAGAGATGGGACTCAAATCCAGATCTTTTTTTTTCACATCCAGATCTTTTGTCCCTGAGGCTATTGCACCAACCGTGGGGTCCCTGCCCTTGAAGAACTCCTGGTGTGAGAGCTCAGATTCGGGCTACAGATATACTCAGGGCAGACCAGGAAGGTTCCGAAGGAAATGAGGCTTGAGGTGGATGTGAGGAATGGTGAGGGGTGAGGGGATGCTATTTCACAGAAGCAGGGAGGTGGCAGCAGGACTGAGCGGCTCAGGGGCGCACATCAAGGAATCGTGGGAGATGCCACCAGAGGAGAAAGGGTGTGTATCGGGAGTTTTGCATTTCTGGCAGAAGCATTTAGATTTAACAGTTAATGGAATCAGAACAGGCACAGGGTGGGCTCTCTTACCTCTGTCCCTAACTCTATGGCCTCCTGTAAATCTTTCCCCTTCTCTGGGCCTCGAAATTTCTATCTGCTCAATAAAGAGATAAGATCAAATGATTTCTAAATGATGTTCAAAGGAGATGGTGTTTGTAGCAGATTAGGCTAGCTGCCCCAATATCCACTCTCTCCTCCCTCCATCATAAAAGAGTTTAAAGCGGGTACATGGCCATTCAGCAGAAGACATCTCCTGGGCTGTTCTTGCAGTGAGGTAGGGCCATATGACTAAGTTTTAAGCAATGAGATGAGAATTTGAGTGACTTGTGCCATTCTGTTTTTACAAGTGGATGTACCCCCCTGTGGCAAACGGCACCAACAGTGACCACAAAAATACTTCCTATCCCACAAGTAGTTCTACGATGAGGTCTAAGTCCCCTCTTTTTGAATGCAGGTAAACCTGTGACCGCTTGGACCAGTAGAGTATAGTGGAAAATGCTATGTGACTTCTGAGGCCAGGTCATAAAAGGCAATTGTTACGAGTTAAATTGTGTTCTGCTACCCCCCTTCCAATTCATATGTTGAAATCCTAACTTCCACTACCTCAGAATGTGACCTTATTTGGAAATAGCGTCATTGCAGATGTAAGTAATTAAGATGAGGTCATACTGGAGTAGGGCAGGCCCCTAATCTAACATGACTATTGTTATTATAAAAAGGGAAAGGGGACACGGGTTCGTGCCCCGGTCTGGGAGGATCCCACATGCCCCGGAGCGGCTGGGCCTGTGAGCCATGGCCGCTGAGCCTGTGCGTCCGGAGCCTGTGCTCCGCAATGGGAGAGGCCACAGCAGTGAGAGGCCCACGTACAGCAGAAAAAAAAAAGGGAAATTTAGACACAGAAGCGGACACACATAGAGGGAAAATGATGTGAAGAGGCACAGAGTGAAGACACCCATCTAGAAACCAAAGAGAGAGG